CCACGAACCCAAATTAAATTAATGCCTGCGCCTCCTGTTTGAAGGTCTGAAAGTTGCCCTGGCTGTGCAGATGACCCCTGCGTGTTAAGATGTCATGAGGGGCCATATTCAGACTTCTAAGTGGAGAGGAGCAAGCAGTTCAGACTTTTGCGCAGCTTCCGCATCGGAGGTCCATCATGCCCCTTGTGGTGGCGATGGCCGTGCTCAGGACAGCTCTGCGAAGATGGCAGTACCGTAGCACATCGTAGCGCCTGAGTACCTCGAGATTTCCTGCATTAGAAAGTGTGTCCTAGCATTGGGTCCTCATACCTTTGGAGTTCCTACGGCAGATTCCACCATTTTGAGTCAGTCTATCTGACAGGCTCCCAGCTAGCATGATGAAACTGTGGCATGGCAAAGTTGGGACGCATAGATTGGAAGGTGCTGCGCCAGAGGTCTCCCGTGCAGTCTCCAATCGCACTAATACTTGTTTTGGTCTGTGTCGACTCCAGGTGGCATGCATGGTACTAGTTGCTTCATTGGCGGGTGCCTTTTGTTGATTGACGTAGTGATCCACGCTGTCCTTGTCAATTCCGGTGGTCGTGTAAATCCAGCAAGATGAGGCAGCCAGTGCAGAATGCCGTAGCTAATGGTATAATGGCATGGGAAAGCTGAAGATGCGACGTGCACCCAAAATTCCATTGAGTCTGCACGAGTCGTGCCGAAGCCGTGCGAAAGCGCCGCACCGCGCGGCGTGCTGCACTGGGCGGCGCATAGGCTTGGAGGGATCTTGAAGTTACCATTATGACTTTATGGCATGAATGGCAGCTGTAATTCAAGCAGTTGCAGAGTGTGTTTTGAAAGAAATGATTGTATAAGATGATTGGTTGCGGCTGTGAGTTTGCACAAGAGCTTCCACGGCGGCAGCCCACTTGGTCATTCGCAATGCTGCTTAGGATCTTGATTCTTGATTGTAATGCACGTCCACTTAAGCTTGAGGACACTGTAGGCCAACCTTGCAGTTGGGGGGTTGCCGCTACCCTATGCTTCCACAGGAGAAGTGCATGTACACTTGGAAGCTTTCGCAACCATTTGCGCTTCCAGTTGCCTGTTCAGATCTGTTCAGGCTTGGAGCTCTGATGAGGGGAGAGTGCGTAGCGGCGTAGGTCTTGCAGCAAGGCGCGCAAGATTGATCTAGTGCACTCCTTCTCGCAAGGCAAATGCAAGCCTTCGAGCATGAACTCTTGAAGAGCTTACTGCTCCTGTTTCCATTCCCCGACTTGGCCTTTGTTGAGTTCTGTGGGATACAACTTTGGACAGTCCCCCGTGAATCTAGCCGCGACCTGACGCTTTCAGGCTTTGCCTTGTTGCTGGTTCCTGTCCTCCTTGTGGATGAACCGCAAGGATGAACAGAAGAGAACTGGGCCGTCCGCATGGGGTTTGCTTTGCTGCTTCAACATCTGCACGCACATCGAGCCCAACTCTTACCCATCTAAAATGTCGCAACAGACCTTGCCCGAACCTTGTGGGTGGCCCAGTCGGCTTTGTTCCTTTCTTTCCTGCTTCCCTCTTGAGAGTCTAGGTGCCATGACATGCGAGCACGCCTGTGCTAGTAATAGTGTGAAGATGCAGCCTGCAAGGTACAGTGACTAGTGTTTAGACCTCTGCTTTTGTCCGCGGCAGTAGCACTTTCTAGCATCCTAGCAGATTTTGAAGGCTAAGTTAAGATGCAGAACTTCCATGAACCATCCGTCTGTTTAGGTCGCAGACGTCTGACGTTAACATGCGAAGAGTAGGTCTGTAATGGAGTCCAATCCAGAAGGCTAGACATCATAAGGTCTTGAGTTAGTACGAAGGCGAAGAAGTCCAGTACTCAAAGAGGGAAGCGGGGGTGCAGGCGAAGCTCAGCTCTTGCATTCGCTGAGGCTGTACGTGGCAGAACAGGATCCCAAGAAATTCAGTTGCCAAGCATGCCGAGCCACATAGGCAAAAGGCCTTCGTTGCAGCATTGGCCACCTGCCGGGCACCGTAGCGGAGTGATTACGCTGCTGAGCTGCCGGCACGAGATGACGGTGGCCGGTCGCCAGGACTTAGAGAAATGGAATTTGATTTTGTTATTTGTGTGCCACACAGCTGCGACTGCTGTCACTGCCACTCTTCCTGAAGCTGACTCTGTGGGCAACTGAGTCTCCCACTCAATTGTTTTCCGAGCTTGTGTGAGCGTGCAGAACCCACAGAAGCTCAATATCTGATGCGTGCCGCGCTAGGAAGTGTCAGCCGTCAGCCTATCCGACCCAAGCCAGTCCACCATATCCGACTTGTGCATAAACTTTTACGTCTTACATACCTGAGATGTCTTTCAAGCTGCGCCCTTGCTCTCCTGGCCCCAAGCGACACGCTTGTTCCAAGACAAATTCGCTTGCCATCCATTTGCCGTGGCGAGCCGCGCATGAAGGCTGGGGCACTTCGGCTCTCATTCCGAGCAAGTATTCTTAAACCTAGCCATGCAAACCACAGGAATTTGAACTTGCCGTTCAGGCAGCAGCAGTCAGGCAGGCCAACCCGCAAAGTATAGTTTATGCTTGTAGTTACTACTGGGGAGGATGCTTGATTGCTAGTTACTATGATCGTGCTCGAGGGCCGAGGAGCTGCCATGTTACGGTGTGCAATGACCCATTTTCTTCTGCCAAGTTGAGGAAAACTCAACGGGAGCTGAAAAAAGCCAACATGTGGAGGTCAGGGGCTTTCAAAGATGTGCAGTCCCTAGTTGTTAGGGGTTTGGAGCTGACTGTCCATAGCACGGGCCCGTTTTTCAAGAGGTGGGCATGGATGATGTGCAGCCAGCAGCTGTGTAGAGCGTAGAGGGAAGGTGCATGCTTGGTTTTCGACAAACCGAGTGGTGTCAGATTTGCAACTCGAAGAACTTTGTGGGTCCTGCATCTTGATGCAGGGTAGGAACATTTTCAACATGAACTGCTATTCTCCCTCAAGAATAAAATGCTGCGGCCACGTAATTACAGCAAACTCATCTTGCAAGGCCTTAGCTCGCATCAGATATTGAAGATATCTGTAAGTTACAGCCGTGGTGCAAACCCTTGCAATTTGCAGCTCAAGGCGGCAGCCTGGTGAAGCTAATGAGCTAATGCATACTGTGTACGAAGTTTTCTCCAAGGCGCAGGACTCCCAACACAAGCAGGGCGACTGACGTTGGTAGTTTGATCAGTGACTCACAGTCCGGATTTTGCAGTGGTGTAGAGAACCATTTTCCTCTTGCCAGTTGCACAATTCACAGCTTCTGATGATGTGGGTGATTGGGAGGGCTACTTAGCATGATAACGCAGAGCAAGCAGAACACCTTCCACAACCCCACCAGCTCAGACTTCTCACCAACCTGCAGGCGCCTTCAACCCTTTCAGACTCTGTAGTCACTCAGCACTTACTCGACAATCTTTCCAAATTGAGGCCTATGACCCTCACGATCCCCCACAGACAAGAGATACATCCTGGAGAACCTGGAGAGGGACCCTCATTCTGACGTTCAAGCTTGTAGTAAAGCCATGGCTTCCTATGACTTCTACACGCTCGTGACGTGCCTTGGAAGCGAGAGGCTTCGGCATTTGAGGTTTGCTTAGATGCTCAGGCCTCGCAGATATTCACTAAGACTAAAACACTATCATTATCATCGCAATCTATCGCAATTGTCGCTTTCAATTGGGTAGTATTTTATTTGGGGATACTAAGATACCCAATGTAGAGTGAGATTATATCGTCCTTTTGGGGCATAGTATTTTATATAAGGAATATAATCTTACTGGGTTTAACCACCAAGAAAATCGCTACTCAATTGCTGTTGTTCGTGATCCAGTTTTGGCTGGTGCCATCTATCACAGCTTTAGAGGCTTCATAATGTTTACATTGCCAAGCACCACTGCTGCCAGTGTATGAGAGCAGATTCTGCAGAGAGGAGAGGCAGCTGTTGGGACTTTGGCCCCCTTCGCTTGTGTCGATGTTCGTATGGCCGCCAGCTTATCAAAGCCTTCTTTGGCCACTGCTACACATGCGGCTAGCCAAGCAGAAGCTCAACTTTCAAGGATCCGAGGTCCATGTCCTGAAGTCATGTCGCTTGCAGTTGGTGTCTGAGCAGGGCCTGTCAGAAGCTGTGAAACATGCTGCACACAAGGTGCCTGCTCATACTGGCGCTGCAGATTCACAATCCGTTTCAGGACCGAACGCTCGCTTCTCAGCTTGTCCGTTCAGCGTTTCGTGGTTCGATCGTCGTGCTTGAGACATAGCATCAGAGCTCTGGGTTTTCTTTGCGTGCTATGTTCGTAGCGACGGTGGCGGTATTCGGCAAGCATGGATTGGTGTTTTTGTGCACACTACATTCCAATCCTCAACGCGTCCAACCCGAATTGAATGGCTGGCATGCTTTCAGACCACGGCTTGAGGTGTCGGGAGCCAGCTTCAAGGCATCTTCCCGCACCATGGGGCCAGATTGCTTGGTGCGGCCTTTGATGTGGTACGCGCAAGCTGCGAATTGCAGCTTTTTTGTCCTGTTGGGGTCTAGCAGTTTGCATGCGTGGTCTGTTTGGCAGAAAGGCGTCGAAGAGCAGGAAAAGGGAGTTGCCAATTCGGCCTGACATGAGAAACACAGAGAGTCAGTACTCCAAGTGCCACAGTTGCCGCAGGCCGGAGGTGCCACAAGCAGCAGGCGCCAGAAGTCGGAAGAAGTTGGATTGCACTTTCCAAGCCTTGAACACCATCAGCATTTTCAGTGCTCACCATGCTCACTCTGCAAGTTTACTGTTGGTTAGAGTTCCAGGGTGCTGTCACGGTGAGCTGGTGTAGCATCTCGCGGACGCCTCAAAGCGCTTTACATGGCCATCCCATGTGCACCCGTGCAGGCGTTGGGCAATCGGCCGTCCCGACGCGTCGGCCACGTGAGGTACAGAGCTCAGAAGCCTGGCGCTCGCGCGGGCACTTCCTCGCCTCGGCGGAGCTTCCTTGTTTGATCTTCGGGAGGTGGCAGCTGCTGCATCCTCACCTGGGCTCTCAACAGACGCGCTGCTGCGGGAGTCAGTTGGCTCAGCTTCTGTTGTGTCATCAACCACACATCAGCCATCCAGAATTTATTTGGGTTCGATGGAGCCCAGTTCGATGGCTTACCCAGAATGTGGATGCCCATGTTCTGGGGCATCACGTGGATTTCCGGGATGTTTCTGCTAATCTAGGCCATTCTAGGCCCCGCGAATCGCCTGAGGAGCGTAGAGGTTTTGGATGGCAATCCCTGCTGATGCCTTGAGGCTAGAAAGCCAGGGGTTAACTTATCCACATCTTGGCATGTGAAATGAACATTTTTCAGACGCGGAAGTTCAGCAACTTGATGTCGGCCACTGTTTTCAGTGGCTGCGATGGGGCAGTGGCTTAGCTGCCAGGGATGCTCACTGAGGCTGGATTCCCTCCAGGACAAGGCGAAAGAGCAGCAGGACCATTTGCACATACTCACTTGCCAGTGATGACAGAGACCAAACTGGCATCACTCAAAGAGAGAAGCGTCTGGTGTTAATCTAACTTAAGGAGATGTCCAGACCATGCACCATCCGCAGCCTCGTGCTTCAATCGCTCATCATGGAGGTGCCCGCTGAAGGCGGCATCGCCAGGGCCGTTTATGGGGAACTGCACGCTGCAGGCCCACGTGGTAAGAGAAGGCCTTGCCCTCCAGCATCAGAGCCTTCTGGGCCTTTGAAGCCTCACACCCCTTTGATAGCCTCCCTGGCGCTGCTTCTTCTCCGGGCACGGCGCCGTCCTTGCGTGAGCTGCAAAGCAACGAGGAACTTCCGCAGAGCTTTGGCCTTGGCCCCCATCCTGGTGGCCTCCCAGGAGAGAACTGCACGAGCTTTCGATTCGCTTTCGTGGCTCCCCATGGACGCAGCTCCTAAGGGAGAGCTGGAGCCTGCGGATGCGTGGAGCGTGGACTTCGTGGTGTATTTGGCTCGCATTCTGCTGAACTATGACGAGGCCTCCTCGGCATGGTGGCAGGCCGAAGTGGTCCCCACCGTTGAGGCAACGTTGGACCGCTCGGCACCTGAGCCCTTGCGCCGGGCAAAGCGCGCAGCCAAACTTCGAGAAGTCTTTGCAGATTACACGGCCTCAGTCGAGCTTGGCCTTCGGAGATATCAGGACCAAGGCCGTAGCCCCTCCAACCTCCTGCGGCGCCTGGCAGACCGCTACGGCAGCACTGAAGAGCAGAGGCGGCAACTGGCATTGTGCTTCTGCCTCCTGGAGGATCAACCCCGAGAACTGCTGAGTGAACTCCTCAGCTCGCTCGGCCTAGAGACGCTGGGTCGTTCTTGCAACGAGAGCAGAACAATTCCCGTTTTGTCTTTGGAACCCTCCATAGAAATCCTAATCTCAGGAAAGCCTCCAAGACTCACCAAGGACCCGGCTGCAGGCCGTGTTCTCGCCCGCGCTCCCAGACTACTTGGCGATGGACCCCACGCGGCTCCTTCCGGACACGCAGTACCCTGTTTGGAACGGAGGGTTGAATCGCTGGGTGATCCCGGGCCTTCAAGCGGCCCAGCCCTACACCAGTGCCTTTGACGATACCAAAGGCGTAGAGCTGAGCATCTTTGGAGCCCGTGGGCCTGAAGCGGTTGTCAAGGAGAGGCCGTTGACAGGCTGGGATTATCTGCTCTTCGCTGCTTCGGGAGCGTTTGGCTGCAGTGTGACCCACTCGCTAGTGATCCCACTGGATGTGGTGAAGACCCGGCTCCAGGCAGAGCCAAAGCGATTTGAGGCTGCTGGCGACCTGGTGTCTGGTGCCATGCTAATCTCCCGCGAAGAGGGGGCATCCAGTTTGTTAGCAGGCTGGGAGCCCACCTTACTCGGCTACCTCTGGTATGGGGTCACAGTCTATCCCGGCTACGAGTTTTTCAAGCGCGTCTATTTAAATGCTGTGCCCATCGAGGACCTACGGGTGTTCCTGATTCTTCTGGCCGGTGCCACGGCCACCGTCTTCGCCTGCATTGGCGTTTGCCCCGCAGAGGCCTGCCGCATCCGCATGGTGGCGGACCCGCAGCTCAAAGGTCTTGGCTTACCCAAGGTTCTCCAGAGAATCTCAGAGGAGGATGGGCTCGGCACGCTTTTTGACGGTCTCAGCACTCTCTTAGTGCGTCAGGTACTGTTCGGGATGATGAAGTTCCTGGTCTTCGACTACTTTGCAGACTTTGTCTTTGACTTGGCGCCATCTTTGGCAGAAAAGACAGAGACGCAGCTGCTCGTGTCCTTCATCTCCGGGGCGGTCGCGGGCATCACGTCCTCCATAGTGTCTCAGCCTGCTGACACTGTCCTGACGCGAATGAACCAGAAGCAGGGTCGGGCTTTCTTCCTGGAAACGGGACAGGAGATCTACTCAGAGCAAGGCATCCAGGGCTTCTTTGCGGGCCTGGGCTCTCGAAGTGTGTGGGCTGCTTGCATTATTAGCGGGCAGTTCTTCCTGTACGATGTGTGCAAGTCCTTCCTTGGTGTAAAGGACCTCCGCATGTTCCTCAATGTGCAGGTCTGAGTGGAGACATTTTGTAGGGCGCTTACCATGGCAACGTTTCACACAAGTCAGGGCTCAGAGAGAGCCCACAAATCTTCATAGGGGGCTTCTGAAGCTATGGCAGTCAGATCATGCTCAGGAAGAGCCACAAAGGCTTTGATAAACCAAGGGTAGCCGGATCCGGAATCCCCAAACTATCGCGGTGGATGTGGCAGCGGCAAGTGCTGCAGGCAAATGCAAAAGGGGCACAGGGATCGCAAGCTTGAGGCTGTAGGGTGGCAATATGCTAGAACATTCATGGAAACTGTCAAGCCATGTCGCAATAGAACTGTCCTTCATTAGGGAAAGGTTCGTCAACTGTAAACTTCTCGAAGAACTTTTTGTTCCGTTAATTCGCTTCTGGTGCCAAATGCAGATGCTTATACTCCCAAAATCAAGTCTCAGACTCGGAAGGTATCCTGGCGAGCAATCCCCTCCAAATGGCAGGTTTCTTCGCCGCTGATCTTGGCTGCCAACTAGAGGGATCACAGCAGCTTCACAACTGTTTCAAGGAGACCCTTGCCGCTGCAGGGCGCATGCCCCCGCCCAGCCCAATCCTTCAGCACCTCAAGGAGACCGAGGCCCCTTTGAGCTTTCAGATTTTCAACACGTCAAGGTTTGTAATGGTCTGAGGGATTTCTCTGGCTGTGCCCAGAAGAGTTCTTCAAATCGCTGCGCATCGTGCATCCCGCAAATATCCGAAAGCTTGTTAAGGCGGCGATGCCTCAGCAGGTGCAGGCGCTCTTTTTGCTCATAATGTTGTTAGCAGGCTGCTTTAACTTGGTCCATGCCGCTCGGGTTCCAGTACCCTGCAGGTGCCGCCGCGAGCTGCGGCCGCGCCACAGCAGATGCCACAGGCCCGGGCAGAGAAATGTTCGAAACCGTAAACGCTGAAAGGTGAAGTATGTGAAGTGCAGCAAGGATTTTTGAGACGCAGCACTTAACAAGCTTGGCGGATCTTGGCGGAAAAGTGATCGACTCACAGCCACGCGAGATCAACTCGATCAGCCATCCATCATGTCAATCCGATACAGTGGCGACCACGCGGGGACTCTCAGGACCATGACTTGCGTGACCTGCTAGGCCCAAGTGCCTCCAGGGCTTTCGCCAGCGGCTCCGGCGCCCCAGGTGCGATGAAACAAGCCTGAAGATAAACCTGAGCACAAGGATCGGCTTGAGGATGCTGACGTTTGGATTACTTCTGAGGAAGTGCGTTCTGACTTGCTTGGCAATGAGTGCTGGCCTGGCTCAGGGCGCAGGCTTCCTGGTGCGGCGCCGCGAGGAGCTTGGCCAGGTGCTGCAGGCCGTCCGCTGCTTTATTTGGCGTTTCTGGAATGAGTCTTTTTGGGGACCATCGGATTCTTGCATACAACCCTACTCAACCCGACATCATTTCATAACGTCTGGGTCACATGAGGCATGTACCTGGGAAAGCTTGGCCAGACCAAGCAGAGAGAGAGAGCACGATCTAGATCCAATTTTTGAGCAGTTTGCACACAGAGTCTTGCGTGTGTCAGGCACAGATGCCCAGGGGTCTGGGAGTGCTGGCCTTAGTATAGGCCATTGACGTCTGAGCAGTTCGGTGAAGAAGTTCCAACCCCAAATCATGTTAGCCTTCTGACGCGTGGCAGCTCCCTCAGTCCTGCAGCTTCAAACATCTGCATGCATGTTGTTCTTGTTTGCAAGAAATCGGCACTATCAGGTCCTTCTCGGCGTGGGTCGTGGAGATTTCGCATTGCGTCTGCTGCGAGACTGGACGTCGTCTCATGGCCTGTGCGCCCTGATGGCCAGGACTCAAAGAGCAACATGTGTATCTGTGGGAAATGCCAAAGTCCAGGGAGTGCAAACCAAATCTTTGAACGAATGGCGCAGGTGACAAGTACCCTACCGATCTTGTCAAAATGTCTTCGTTTTCCTGGAAGTCCTACTTTGGTCGTGTCCAGGTACTTGGTAGATCCCTTTATTCACCAATGGCGTGGCTACGATGACCCAGCGAATCTTCAAGATAATGACCACCAGCTGATCTTCGAGGACAGCTTTCAGCAAGCACGAGTCGAAGTGTACTCTTGCTGCTGTATGTGAGCAGCCTGGACTCTTGACTCCTGCGTCTCCTTCTATTGGTGTCATGCTATTTAGTTAATCTTCTGGAAAAGGATACGAAGCCACCTGGCTGCAGGACCTTCGCAACCGCCTAGAGCCTTATGAGCCTTGACCAAGATTTGTTAACGTTCTCCACGCTGCAGCTGTTGGCAACGACATGTAGTGTGAAGCCATGTGGACAATTGCTGAGCCCAGGAAGGTCGCTATGTACTGGTCTCACTGCCATATTTTGACAATTATTAAGTTAATGCAGCCTTGGGCTTTTGAAATAGTCTTCGACGTCGATGCCTTTGGGAAACCTCCCATCTCGTGGCCAAGGTCAGGCTGACACATCAGCTAGCCAGCAGGGTGCGACTTGCGGTGATCGTCGCTCTCAATTGTCGCTGGTTCTAGATTCGCGAGTTCTCCGAAAACGAGTGAAACAGCCAACATGCCACACGCTGAATGGTGCTGCCAGGTGCGGGACTTCTCGTACTCCTTCGCAGAGGCGCGGATTCAAGGAATCAAGCACACCGGTACATGTTACACCTTTCGCTCGAGTCTAGAATTCAGCTGCTGTGTTGGGCGACACCTTCAGAGACTGTCCGCTTGAGGTCTACAAGCGCGGGGATCAGACGCCAGCAGTTGCCACGCGAGCGACTCTGGTTGGGCCAGTTCAGGGTCAGCCAAGTTACAACAAGTCACAATGAATCTTCAGTCAGACCTGGGCATCCTTGGCACATGGGGGAATTAACTGATCTGCCCTCCATATTCCATTAGACCCTCCAAGCAATTTGCTAACATGGTGCTTGGAGACAAGCAGGCTCTTGTGAGGGAAATGATTAAATGTGAAGCGTTAAGGAGGGAACATTGAGGTTCATCTATGTGGACGCTAACCACGCAGAGGAAGCGGCTGGGGACTCGGCTGCAGGAGTTTCTCCACTTGTCGACGGCTCAAATCTGGAACTCCCTTAGGGCTGCGGTGTTGAGGTGTCGCGGGATCTGGAGCTCTGGTGGCCCATCCTCGCCTCCGGGGGACTCATGGGAGGCAACGCCCACTGCTGTTGGGTTGAAGGCTTTGGCTGCTCTTCTGAGGTAGGAAACGTTCCAAACGGGACCATCTTTCCAGGCAGCACCTACATGGACGATCCGGGTCGTCGGATCCATGTACCTTGGCCAAGACTTTCTACAGCAGAGCGCACCTCTCAATCTTGCTGGAAGAGCTGCATGAGGTAAGAAGTGCCGTGGACAAGTTTGCTGCACGGCGCCAGCTGCAGGCCGCCGGTACTTAGGATAGTTCACAAAAATGGTGAACATTTCCGGCACCTTCAACCATACAAGTTGCAGGTCATCACAACCACAGATGACATGCCGGCATCGTGGTTCATTGTGAAACCGTGAGCTCTTGCCTGGCGTAACACTTGTAATCTTGTATAGTGTTTGTTTACTGCTAACATTCGAGGGCTCAAGATCATGATGGGGATAATTTGACGACTCCGGGGCAGAAACACGCAGACACCGTTGTAACATGGCGCAACTTCCGCTTGGCATGCCGGGACTCTGGAGTGCGAGGGGCAGACATCGGCATTTCGGTTTTTGCTGTTCTGTTGTATAGCTTCATGAACGGCTATTTAGTGATCCCATTGCTGAGGCGCAGTGTTCGTTGTCCCTTGCCCTTGTTCCCTACTGCGTGCCGAGAGCGCATTGTTGAAAGCTCTTGGACATGACAGTTAAAAAGATGTCACCCCTAAGAAATTACAAATCCGGTGCCGTAAGGCCCGCAGCCCAAAATGCTTTGGAGTGAGCCTGCAAGTGGACAATGTGCCAGCGGCTCAACCCCAAGCAATGCAGGGTTCTCCCATTCTTCGGGGAGAGAAGAACAGAAGGGAGCAGTCTCACTCGCCACCGAAGCAGCCATGGTGGAATTGCGTGCGGGTGACAAGGTTGTTCTGCCTGGACGGCTCCAGGTTTGTAAGTTGCAGACGGCATCCCAACTCGAAAGGTGGCTTGAGGGCCGTTGACAGGGTTGGATCGTTCGGGGATGCCAGGCTGTGGTCCAGCGCCCCTGCGGCCGTCATTTCGCAGCCGCTGGCTCACTCCCTGTTTCAACGATTCCAAAAACACCTAACTGATGCCGTGCTGGCAGAAGCCTGGTGCAAGCGCACCTAGCAGATTACCCTCTGGCACCCATACCACCTCTGTCCAGTTTACTACCATTGACATGCCAAGGCACTGACCCAGGGTGTCACGCCCATTGCGTTTGCTGCTGGTTGGGCCAGCAATGGCAGAAGACAGAGGCCGGCACGCTGTATGTCGTGCTAGAGAGTCATCTTGTCCAGAGAAGCTTCTCATTGAAAGGCCGGCCGCAGGGCTTTTGACTTGTGAAAGTTTTTGTTCATCGTATCTCCAGCGCCAGGCATGAACTGGCGGTTCATGTTCCCACATGTTCAAGGTTCAGATGTTGAGACTTGTCGAACGTGCCACGCTCTCGTTTTTCAGCAGTTCCCTTGACCCGCTGGTCTTGGCTCAAGTGCATTTTATGCGGCCTAACGCGCCCTTCTCTCAATGCCCGCACTAAGCCAGGCCGTGGAAGGGTGGCTTTTGTTCTCAAAAGCGGTTGGACTTTCTTGACAGCTCGAATTGCTGGTTGCTTGGTCAGTGCTTGACGTACTTTGAGGATTGGCGACCCGACCACCTTTGACTCAGCCATTCCGGCCCAAACGTCCCACGAGCAGCTGCTGAAGTTTTGCCCTTCGCTCCCCTTCTTTCAACAATGGCTGCCGCACGAGGCACTTTAACTTAGCAGCTGCAGTCCAAGCACCGTCATTTCCACTTGCAACAGTTGAAGCCGCGTGTTTTAATCTGTACAGCCTCAGCGCGCAAACCTAAGCAGGGCTATCCTGCCGGGTTCATAAACAGGAGCTGAAGATTGGACAACTTCTTAGACCATGATGTGAGATTCAATGGCTTGTACCTGCTCATAGCCAAGCTTTAAAAATCATTTGGCTTCTGAGAAAGTGGCCATCACTGGTGCTTGAATAAGCCTCCATGGAGGTCGCTCTGCTCGCGCTGCCATGCTGCTGGCTCTGCTGGTGGTGCTTCGCTTACTTTGGGGGGAGCGTTTGGCTTAGGGAGCATGGGCCATTGACTATGTTGGCAGTGTTTTCAGCCACACTTCAAGATTGTGGCCCCGACGCTCAAGGACCAAGGGTGTGGCTTACTTTGAAGGAAGTAAGACAGAAGTTAACTATTGACCTGCCAAACAAACAGCTGAGACAGCACAATTGCCGAATTCTTGATCCGGATGACAGAAAGCAGCAAGAGTCGTCAACCGTAATGCCAGTTGAACTACAACCGATGAGGCCCACCAGCAATGCGATGCTCAACCTTTGGCAGTGCCAGGTGCCTGCCACGCTTTGCTTCACTGGTGCCTTGGCGCCAGCCACCCAGGGCCGCACGGCACGGACCGCCGAGGCAACCATGGGTTACTGTGAAGGTTACCGACTTGAGTTTTCATGGTGACTATCCCATGTCCCGACCCCCCTGAGCTTGTGTGCCATTGTGCCGCATTTGTCCAGTGAATGTCTGAAGTCCTGGAGGGCGCGCGAACGGAACAGTTCATTGTCACTTCCACAGGCAGCCAGCAGCAGCGGCTCCTCTTCCGTGGCACTCGTGAAGGTAACCAAGGACAGAATTTGCTTCTCAAGGCTGCAAAGTTTCATGTTCCCGGTCTTGTACAGTCAGTATCGTATATCAGCAATGGGCAACTGTTACTGCTGGTGCTTCTACGGGATCACACGCGCGGTCATGTCTTCAGCTGTAATGAACTTCACCATTGTCTAGTGAGTCTAATGAAGGCTGATCCGCTGGGCTAAGCAGAGGAGAACAGCATTGCCACCGCGGGTGTTTTGGGCGGAGTTACCGGCCTCCTTCTGGGCGGCTTCTGGCCTTTTGTCTGCTTTGCCATCATCCTGTTTTATGTTTCTGAGGGTTTGGAAGCTGCTGCAAGTGTTTCATTCTGACATACTCTGACAGAAGGAAACTGGCGCTTTCCTTCTGGATTTGGTTCATACAGCCCATTCGGGATTCGGGTTTCTTCAGGTTCACTATGTGCGGCTGCAGGTTCAGTTTTAATGCTGTAGCACCGGAGTGGTCTGATCAAGGGTTATCGCGGGAAACTACATGTCCTGTTCCTGGCATGCTCAACCTTGCTAGGGATGCCCACATACTGGTTCAAAGGCCAACCGGGGTCCAACCCAAATCTGTCATGTGCCCCAGAGATTCCAAGGATCGGCGCTGCAGGCTTCGTTGCAACCTCCTACTTGGCGAAGAAGGTTCCCGGGCAAACGCAGCCTTTCTTCACGAGCCTAAACGAGCACGCAAACTCCATTGGCATGAAGAGTCACGTGGCCCGTGAGACGAGCATATCATTGGCCAATCCTGAGTGTAGAAGGTTCAAGTCAGTAGACAGCTGTACCCTTGGAGCTTGGTTTGACACTTATGAGCATAATGACAGGAGGACTCCGACGTGGCCACCGTGCCTCACCTGCTTCAGAGCTTACCAATCAGCTTATGCGGACCCACCCTTGCATTCCATTCTATGCCGAAGCGGCGGCTGGCGGACCGAGGACGATGTCCTTAAAACGTAAACCTCTTCTTGAGGGCGGTTCAAATCTGTCAGAAGATAAAGGATTGCAAAGTAAGAGCATTTGACAAATCTGACACATGGCCCCGGACCGAGGTGCTTAAGGGCGTTTCCAGCGCGTCTCTTGAGGCAATCAATTTTGTTGACTACTTGCTCCTCGGCTATGCAAGGAATAGGCCTCGCACACAGTGTCAGTAGCTGTGGCAGGGTAGGAGGCCGAAAGAGCCAGACAATTGATGGACATCCAGGATGTTTTGGAAGCCCAGCTGAGGAACACCAAGTACGATGTGACCTCCAAGGTCGGCACAGCTTCTTGGCATCAAATTTGTTCAAGTTTCTTGCAGGAGACCATTTTTAGGATGCATGACAATCTGGGGTATTCTGGGGTCTCTTAGCAAGAGGATCAGATCATGGCTAATGAGTAACTAACCTCCGGTGGAAGTTTGAGGCTCTGAACGATGCCTTGGAGAAGTCCGACAGCGAGACCACCTCCACCGTGAAGGCTCCTTCTCATAAACTCCCGCCTGTTTCTGTGATGTTTCCTGAGTCTGCATTTTGCGCCAGAGGGTGGCCTCTGCATTTTGCCTTCACAGGGTTCTGTTTTGTAAGCTTTGGTGGCTGCATGTTGACGGGTACACGGCTTGTCACGGCATGAAAGTATTGGTGATGCTTCTTGGTGGGTGGGCGAGCCGTCCTTTGAGCCCTTTGACTCACTTGAAAGGAGTCCGTGGACACCGTCAGTGAAGCCATCACCAGCCCCTTGCCTTTCTTAACAGGAGAAGCCAGGATGCTCTGCCGACTCTTGATTCTGTCGTGTTTTGGCAAGCAGTGCCTCTGCAAAAGAGCTGAGTTTAGCTGTGTAGTCTGCAGTGCTGCTTGAGACTGGCCACAGATTGTGATTCGAACCCCAGCTGTCCTTGGCTTTGCAAAGGCTTCGACAAGGACGTCGGCATCAAGGCCATTGCTCAAAACTCCGCATGTAAAGCGCTTGCAAGCGGTATGGTCTTCTCACCATGGCACGTCTTGGGGAAACCTTAACGCGAGGGCTTCATGTGCAAGAGGTATCACAGGGCAAACCTGAATCTTGCACTGCATCTTGTTTGTGAGCATGGCAGGAGCCTGCGTGCCACAGATTGGATGCTTTGTCTTTGCGCTCGCTGAAGTTGACACAGAAGTGTCAGGACACCCTGGGCTCGCTGATCCTTTCCGGCAGTGACCTCGCCAACCAGCTGGCCGCCAAGGCGTGCGGCAAAACAGTCTGCAGATGGTCCCAACGGATACTTCCAAAGCTTTAAAGCACCTTCCATCCTGGGTTCGTTCCTGTATTTGGAGCCTGACCGGCAGGTTGTGGAGCTGAACGACCAGTACAAGGCCAGGTCTTTTCTCATAATTTTGGGGTGTGGAGGTAAGTTTTCTTTTGGTTGTGGGTTCTATAGGATTTCGTGGATTTCTTGTTTGAGCGTAACCATGAACGGCGCGCTTTTCCAACTCTGAGCCTGCCTATCTCTCGAGGTCACCGACCAGATCAAGGCCAAAATTGATGAGTCCCTGGAGACCGCCAAGACCAGCTAAATCCGGAAAGCATGTGACTGAGCTCTGAGAGCTGGATGCAGGATGTTTGCCTTCCTGGCAGCAAAGGCTTGTGTCAGGGTTGGAGGTTGCAGCTCCTAGGCCTGGGAGATAAGACAAGAATCTTGGCCTGGACGCTTGCTGGGTAAACTCTGTCCCACATCGCAGAGCGCACGCTGCAGAGTTCTTAGTTGAAGTTGAACCAGCAAAAGGCTTCGGACCACGGCGCAGAGCTCAGGCATTGCACTAGCAGGCTGCGGCACAATCAGCAAAATTCAACACATTCGACAAGTGTTCATTCTGCAACTGAAATTTGAACAAGTTTTGCTGTCTGCCACTGCCCGCAAAGAAGATTCTTCCCGAACTCACGAGGGTCGGTGAAGAGATCCTTATGTCTGTGACAGCGAGCCGAAGTAGTTGGAACATGAGCATCAACGAGATTTGCCATTCAATGGAGACTTTTGCTCAGTTGTAGATCCAGGCAACCGTGCTGCTCGCTATCATTGACAGGTAAATGCTTAGAGGCTTAGAGGATGTCTTCTGGTCTTGCTTTCTTAACTCTGCCGAGAATCTTGATAGCACAGCCAGACCTAACGTTCGGGTCACCGGAAGTGTGAGGAAACCTCAAGCAAACTGTTTACACTCCTTCTGCTGTCCATAGAGAGACCTTTGTGTTTGCGACCCACCTTTTTAAGCTAGGTCTGCTTCGAGGTCTCTTTTCCGCGTTGATGCGGAGGTGCGCAGCTCGGATCAAAGGGCCTCTGTATACCATTGCTGGGCATTCTGCATTCCTGGCCGCTGTCCCCAGTAGTTTTTCAACCGTGGAGGCTTTATGTCATGCCAGGCTCAGGGGATGAAGCCGGCCAGATTGCAGCACCCAGCGCATTTTCCGTACTCCCAGTCAAGCACTCCATTGCACCGCGAAAAAGGATGGCAGGGAGGCTTCCCAGATGACTGTAGTGCAAACTTGTTCAGCCCTTGTTTCATACTGTTTTCCCATGTTCCTGGCCTTTGCCTCATCAACAGCCGCAGATGCCACTGCCAACTGACGTGAGGCGAAGCTCCTAAGGTCCTAAGAAGAACGCAGCCCAGGTTGTTCCATGCACCTGAGCCATTCAGGCCCAAAACGCCCACAGCACAGCCTTAGTAGCTTCCTCAGCTTTTCTTGCAACAATGGCTGTCGCTCGAGGCATCAGGACTTCAAGATGCTTCATGCATAGCCAAAGCACGTACAGCGCTTCAAAAACTGTCTATGTGCCGCGGAAGCGGTTTTAGGCGAAGCTTTTGGCACACGGAGAGTAATCTCCTAAAAGAGGGCCTGAGGCGTCAAGGCAGCCCAGAAAATCGTGTTCACCATACTTTCTGCCGTACAGGTCGCACTGCCCGCGCTGCCCTTCTGTTGGCCCTTGTCGTGCCTCTGACCTCTTGACTGCAAGGGTGGGCGGAAATCAGGGCGCCGACAGTGCAGAGCATCGCTAAACTTTGCACATGATGGGTTTCTGCCTGTGCTTGTGGAGAGAAGCCAGCAACACAAATGGAGAAATCCTTTTTCCAAGACCTCTGAGCTTTTCCGGCCAGGTGCCTGCCACGCTTTGCTTCACCGGTGCCTTGGCGCCAGCCTCCCAGGGCCGCACTGCTCGCGCCGCCGAGGCACAGCCTGCTTGAAAATGTGAGGAGCTCCGTGGCTTTCTTTGCAATGCCTTCCTCTGTGAGACTTCGCGATGCACATGATGCACTGCTCCTGCACTGCTCCTGCACTGCTCCTGCACTGCTCCTGCACTGCTCCAGCACTGCAGCAGGCTGCCACCGGCTCCAGCGGCTCCTCCTCGGTCGCGCTGGTGAAGGTCACAAAGGAGCACAAGTTGGCAAGACAGCAGCTGTCGGGACTTCAGGCTTAGGGCTTTGAAGATCTTTGAAGTTTTGAAGAGATTGTAGCGAGGGGCCATGTGCCATGTGGTGCAAGGCCTAGCAGGAGGAGGTCCCAAGGCAGGCATGGTGCATCTCCTCAGCCCTCAACCCCGCGCCACCTTTTACCTGGGGTTCTTGTCGGGTCGTGCTGAAAGCAGTAAGGCAAGATGCCAATGTGCAACTGCTGACAAGTATGTAGTGTTTGCGGTCTTAGGAGAACAGCATCGCCACTGCTGGCGTCCTGGGTGGCGTGACCGGCCTCCTGCTTGGCGGCTTCTGGTGCCTTGGTCGACGGTCCGTTGTATTCGGACATAAATAGTTGATGCATCACACACTTATTCATCTCTCTTCTCGAATTTCACAGGTCGAACAGAAGGGCTGTTACTGACTCTTAGAGAGGTTATGTAGGCACCCACACATCCCTGAAGGAAGGAGGCTTCCTGGAATGTCTGCCCTTTGCAGCTTGTTCCTGTGTTCCACGAGCAACCAAGTAGTAGGAGCCTCTATCCTACCAGCAAACCGCATTCAAAGGATTGGCGCTGCAGGTTTCGTCGCAACCTCCTACTTGGCAAAGAAGGAGCCGGTCTCTGCATTATGTGCACACTGTTGCACAGCTAGTCAAGCAGTTGCCCGGCTATGCGCCTCGCAGTCAAAGTCAGCCAGTGAAAATCTAGTCCGTACCCGTTCCATGCACGTTCCAAGCTCCCAAGCAGGCAGAGCTGTGCATCTATGTTCCTTGAGAGAGACGCTCTGCAGCCCCAAATGGCTTCCGGGCCACTGATGCGGGATGGCGAGGGTGGCAGCGCATTGGAAGAATCTCATGACCTGGTTGAAGGAAGCTGTAGCAGTAGATCTGGTGCTTCAAAAGAAATCTGGTGAGACACCGCGATAGTCCAGTTTTTGTAGAGGATGGAATTTGCCTTCTTGCATGGCCAACTGCCAGGAGGACTCCGATGTTGCCACTGCACCTTGACTGACGCTTCCCAGAGAACGGCAAGTCACTTGTTTATTGCTCCCTCTTGCGTCAGCCTCCATATGGGTGCTCTACAAGTCCCCTTTGGCTAGGTGTACTATGCAGCTATGGATGGTGCATGGACCCTTTTTAGCATCAGACATAGACGTGGAAAGAGCTTAGCAGCAATAACAGCAACAAGAAGAATACTGAAATAAGAAGAATAATATGAAGAAGAAGAAAAAGGACAACTTAGAGCGGACAACAAAGAATAGTAAGAAGAAAGCGTGGGGCGGTCCAAAGTGCAATCCCGAGTTGAAGCAACGACATGCGTCACTGCAGTATTGGTGAAGACGACCACAAAATTAGCAGGTACACCGACTGTGAAAAGCATGTTGTCAATGGACATAGGTATGAGGTAAGCATCAAGATACAGGTATGGCAATTTGTGAGTGTTCGGAGATGTGCTCCCTGCATCATGGACGAAATGAGGTGCTGAAGGGCGTTTCGAGCGCATCTCTGGAGGCGATCAATTTTGTGGACTACCTGCGCCCAGCCTGTCAAGGTTGAGATGGATCCGATTCCCAAACAAGGATTTGCTAGGGCCTCTTTCTGATAGGTTTGGCCTCCCTTATTTTGAACTTGGGCTGTACTGGTGCTGCAATGCATCGATCAGTGGGGGTTCAGCTTTTGTTTGCCAGGGTCTCTTGGAAAAAGGTTTCACATCCCTTCTGCTGTATTGTAGTGGATGTTCTGACCTTTTCGTCCTGGCCCGGGCTCTTGGCCCAGGAACTCCAAGTACGACGTCACCTCCAAGGTTGGCACCGACGCCCGGCTGAAATTTCGCGATCTCCACAGACCACAGATGTTTCACAGATGATTTAAGATGTTTCAAGGGTAGACGGTCCAGGCCCTGAATGATGCCTTGGAGAAGTCCGACAGCGAGACCACCTCCACCGTGAAGGCCGCTGTGCTGAAAGCTCTGTAGCCTGGATTGGCGTCTGCTATGGTGCTGCAGTACGCATTCAAGCAGTGGTCCACCTGCCTGCCAGTAAGATATTGTATATATATATATGTATATGTGCTAACCCCCCGCTCGATCTACGTAGACCGTGTTCTGTACATAAGTGCTGTAGTTGTCAGCAGTAGACAACTTTGTCTATTAGCCCGTAATTCTGGAAGCTCCTGGACGCAAGAATTGATTTCAGGCATAATCCTCGTGGATTCTTACTCATTGTTCACCAGAACTGATGTTAATTGTCAAAACACAGATGCCAGCCTTGACCAGTGCCCAAAATCCAAAATGTCCAAAGCTCCAGAGGGTCAACAAAAGTTTGGATTTTGTTGATCTTCTTCCAAAGCCATGCATGTTTTGGATTCCCGATGGATCCTATGGAACATGTGAAATCTGAGGATCTGCCAAACCCAATTTGCTTCTTTCAAATCACCTAGAATTTTTGTCTTTGGACTTTCGTTGGGTTTAAACTCCAACAAAGAATCCCAAACATGGAAAACTGTTGGGCACGTCTGAGGAGTTTCGGTGTTTTGAATTGTAGGCATTGGTCACGGCTCACATAGATTCCTTTTAGAGGTAAATAGGATGGTTACTTGGAAAGGAGAAGTCCAGGATGGTGGATTTCGGGGGTTTGTTCTGATGACTTTTCTTTAAAAACATTTTCATGGACTAGAAAGGAAAGAAGACTAATATCCGGTTTTCGTGTATTCGTGCTGCTGGAATTTTACAGGAGTTTTTTGGTAGAAATCAAGAATCCGACTTGTAAGTTTTCATATGAGATGGACTGGACATCGAAAGCGATCAGGAATCCTGGTTCCTTGGCTGAGGGTGTCCAAATGGAGTGGGTTTCACTGATTTCCTGAATATATATATATATGTATTTTGTTTTAACCCTCTATAGCTTAGGGGTCGATGCAAGGGCCGGGCAACGCCAATGTGCAAATTGTGTTCAGCTTTGTGCCATTTTGGAATAGTCAAAGCCATTGCACCGTGCGCGCTCCAGAATGCTTTTTCAAGAGCACACGAGCAGACTGTGAGCCTGGGGGTAAAAACTTTGGAGCCCATTTCCCCCAAAGGGGTCATGGCAAAGCCGTGGCCGCATCGATGACCCGAGCGCACTTGGGTGTTGCCTGAATTCTTTAAGAGCCTTCGGGTCAAGCCTCTGACCCAGAGGCAGTCAAGGCCGGATATTTGTAGCACAAATCATAAGTCAGACGGAAAGCAGTTTCAGACCAACAGTCGCAAGCCCAGCGGACGAGATTCCGCAGGACCCCGGGCGCCTGGGCGTTTGCTGTGTGAGTGTGTTTGCGTGGGACGTTTCGTAATTTTGCCGAAAGTAAGGAACAGGTGTGTCTTTGCAGGTGCCGACGCTGGCAGCGGTCGTGGCTTGAATTGTTGTGGATCGGCAGTAGCACCTTCCGAAAGTTGACGAAACGAAGAGTGCAAGCACCAGGAAAGCGTGCGTTGAAATGCGAGAGAAATCCATTTGGATGTGCGATGTCGGCGGTGGAGTGTTGTGCAGAAATTGCGTGATGTTCCGTGATTGCGTGCTGCAGCACTGTGAGTAAACTTCGCCGCTCACACGGCTTGTGCATGGTTTCAACTTTACCTTCCAGGGCCCGCCCAAAAATGCGGCAGCTCTTGGGCTTTTGTTTTTTCAAATCTCTTGAGCCGGGGGTCATGTGCCCACCATGGACGAATCTCCTTGGTGCGCGTAGCCTTGCAAATAGCCTGGAAGTCGGCTCAGCTGGCTGCTTCGGATGTCAGCCCCTCCAGGAAAATCCAGCCGGGGCACATTTTGAGGCTGCAAGGAGAGAAGGCTTTCCCAAACTTTCGTCTTGAACCCAGCTATGCTGATCTGTACGAAGGGTGTGTGTGGTCAAATTTGGCTTCGTTTGCGGGACTAGACCCCAGTGGCCAGGACGTTCCCAAAAGCAGGCATGAAAACGGATCTATTCTGATGCGGTTCTGGGGCACCGGTTCAGGTACAGTGCAGGCTGTTTGGGGCATCAGGTGGCAGCTTTTTAGGGAAGTTGGAAGCTGTTCTCGGGCATGCTGGATGCTGTTTCCGTCCGTTGCGGCCCGGGATAGGGGGTGCGCGCGGTCCTGCGTGATTCGGGGTGGACCTGGCCGTTACCTCAGTGGCACGTGTCGCGCCGCAGCAAACATGCACCCTGCTTGTAAGCTTTCGTCCCTCCCCGGGCGCAAGTTGTCAAACTCCCCCACGGTTGATGTTGACTTCTTCCTGAGAGTGATGCCAAAAAGCAGCCGCGCGGGACCATGCGCTTGCAAGACGCCGTGAATCTTGAAAGTAGCCCGACACTATAAAATTAGCGAGCGCCGGCGGGTCTCCTAATTTCATAGGTATTGGGCTGATGATTCCCTTCCGGGTTCTCGGTTCCCGCTCGCTCTGGTTTCCGTTGCGGCCCCTAGAGGTTCCCGTGATCCTTGTCCAGTTCACGATACGCCCAGGGCCGGTTCCCGTTGCACAGTTTCCGTTATGCCCAGGCTGCTCCCCATTACAGCCTACACTCGGTACTTGATGGGCTTTCCGTCTCTGTTGACTGTCAACGCGCCCGCAAGGGTCGGCGGATGTTTCTATAAACAAGCTCGCATAAACAACCTTTATAAGTAAGTTGAATAGGGCCATTGATTTCTTAGATTCCCTTTTTGGGGTCATTCACAAACAAACTCGCGTATATGAACTTGAATTAGAATCGGGGTTTCCCTCGATTTCCTACAGTCGTATTTGTATAAAGGCGTGATTGTAAATGAGGAAAATATTTTGCAGGAGCCAGTTCACAAGAAGCTGCAGGTTCTCTTGGTGTTTATTTTCGTTCCAAGCATGCGTTCACTGAGGAATCTTTCCCATTCAGGAGGTTCCTTGATTTCTAGATATTTTGTTTTGTTTGACAAGGATTCCAAAAACAGCTTATCCGCATGCATGATCTACTTGGAGTTAGGGGTTTCTGGATTTTTTAGGTGCTTGTTAGATTTAGCAGTTCTTTGTCAAGGCATGAACATAACATAACTTCCGAGACAGTTTATGAGAGTTAGGGTTCCCGCGAGTTCCTAGGTCTGTATTGTTTTGCTTGAAAGTTTTTTATAGAGGATCAAGAGTATGTACGACGCCTCGAATTAGGATTGAGTATTTCCTGGACGTGCCAGATTTGTATTGTCTTAAAAAGGTGATTATGCAGGAGCTTTTCTGAAGAGGCAAACGGATGGGAACTTCAGAATTTTAATGAATTTAAGGTTTCCTGGCTTTCCTGGATCTGCAGGTTTGTCTTTCATTTTATATGATAGGCTCAACCAAAATGTACGAACAAATATGCAGAACGCCTAAAGGACATCGAGGGGTTAGCGTACATGTAAATTGATTATAGCGCTTTCGATTCGTATCACGCTGCTTTTCAAGTTTGTAATGTTTGACGCGTCCAAGCTGTTCAATTTTGAATGCTTTGTGTCCTTCGACCATGAATCGCAGGGCTCCCTGGACACCGTTGGCGATGCTATCACTAGTCACTTGCCTGAGACAGACATGAGAGAGAGTGATGGCTGACTCTGTTAATCTGGCATAGCAGGGCCAAATCCGTTCACTTGCGTCCCAGCGCAAGGTTTGTGCTTTGGCATAGAGATGTGCTTAGCACGAGGTCCACGTGGCTGTTTCTTGCGCAGGGAACCAACTTTGTGACACAATGGCCACGTCGACCGGAATTAGCCGAGCCACAGCTTTGTGCTTTCTATTTACTGGAAGATGTCTGCTTCCGAGGCTTCGACAAGGATGTGGGCATCAAGGACGGGAGAACGCGTTCTGGTTGAGCGCCATCTTGAGTATTTCGATCTTCCAGACTTTGACTCCTTGGAATAAGGCAAGGTGACATGTCTCGCAAACATTCAAGCGACGTAGACGCCCAGGTATCTTCTTGTTTAGCAGGATGTCATCCAGTCTGCATGGAAGAAACAATGAATCAACTGCTAGACAGACTGCCAGACTGCATCAGGATACCCTCGGCTCCCTCATCCTCTCCGGCACAGACCTTGCAAATCAGCTGGCCGCCAAGGCGTGGTGTGGTGATTCAGGATTGGGCTTTAGCTGGCGGATCTATGATGCGACGTTTTCATGGGCATGCTGCTGGATGCATGTTGCATGCTTACGTGCTTAAGGCAGATGTCTTCCACTCCGGTGCTGCTTTTCAAAGGGTGCAGATTGACCTTAAAGAGACTGGACTCTGTCAAAGGAAGCCAAGAGCAAGCAATATGCTCATTGCGTGCTGCATCGTATGAGGCTTTTCTATCAAGGACCCCGCAGCTTAGCAATGGTAGATTTCCTGAAGAGTCACAACGTGAGAAGGAAGAACAACCTTCTTCTAGAATCTACACCTGGCAATCGCACTGCACCACTGCACTTGAAGGTTGTGGAGCTGAACGACCAGTACAAGGCAAATCCCTGTCAGAATAATTAATGAGACCATGGACAAGCCATCAGGATCACAGCCTGCACCTTCTTGCGCATTGAAGCGGTTACAGCTTCCGACGCCTCAAGATTCTCAGTGCAAGAGGCATTCTCCGTCATTAGCACACTTCTATGCAGAACTCCTACGTCTGGCATCTGTTGCACTAGAGCTGGAAAACAAAACCCGCGTGCGTTGGGAGTATTCGGCACAGTGAGACTCAAAGACGGACACATGCTGGGTGCTCTTTCCTTGCCCTTGCGGGAGGTCACCGACCAGATCAAGGCCAAGATTGATGAGTCCCTGGAGAGCTCCAAGACCAGCTAAATCCACGTAGCGCGCTCTGCGTAGGTGACTGAGCTCTGGGTGCAGGATGCAGGGGTTCATCGTTAACCTCTACCTTGAAAGCTGAGTGTTGCAGTTACTGAAGCTTACTAATATCTTGACCGAGAATCAGCTTGTAGCCAGCTCCTGGTTGGAGCTTGAAGGCCTGTGTCTGTTGGAAGCGAACTCACCTCTAGATCCTGAATATTTTGCCGAGCCAATCTGCGAAGTCCACATTCGAAGCTGCGCCTTGTCCAACGTAGAGTCGACGTCTGATGAGATGACGCCATTTCTCAGGTGTTTGTTCTTGTTTGGTGGCCTTCGCCAAAGATACATAGCATGTCTTCACCTTGACAAAGCAGCCTCATCCATTGCGCGATCAGAGCTCATGCATCATGCAATCCCGTTTGTGCAGGAGGGAAAGGTGCAGTAAGGTTAGATCGTGAGAACTTGCAAAAGCTAAGTTACGGATTTGATCCTAATGCGTATGGCTAAGATCGCAATTTGCACCACAATTGAATCAGATTCTTCTCCGCACTCTTGACGTTGGTGAACAGCCTGTGATGTGACAGTGACAGCGAGCTGCAGAGAAGTGGACATGTTGAGTGACCATCCAGCCACCTGAAGACTGCATGCTGCAGGACCTAAAACCACTTGCGGCTGCTTGCTTTCACTGCAGGTAAAGCTGAAAAAGAGTGCTTGCCATTTGCATTCTTAGTGTTGCAAAGAGACCGTCCAGCAAAGCAAGGCCTAACCTTGGGAGAACTATCTTGCCAAGAAGCACCCCAAGCAAATGCAAAAAGCGGAGATCCCTCAACAGTTCCGGGCCCGTCGTTTTGAGCTAGGCCTGCTTTCAGGTCTCTTTCTTCGACATAGGTTCACGTGCTGAGGTGCCTAGCACAGCTGGGGTAAAAGTGCCTCGACAGACGCATCTCGCTGAACGCTGCGCGTTTCTGGCCGCTGTCCTTGCGGAGTAGACCCGGCAAGCTTTGAAAAGAGGAAATCCTCCAGGGATGAAGCCGGCCAGTTCGCGGGTTCCTTCAGCATATTTTCCATGACTCCCGCCGTACAGCAATCGAAAATAGACTTTTGGCTGCAGATTCTGGCACATGACAGGCAAACCGCAATTCGGCACATTTCGAATGACTTGGGACAGGTGGTTCTTCCTGAGTCCAAGTGGTGCTACATGTGGACGGACGTTGCCAAGCTGGGTTGACGGCACAGTACAAGGTTCAAGGGCGTCCATTCTGGTGAAGGGCACAGAAGGCTTTCTTGCTTTTGCTTGGGCTGCCAGGCTCTGAGTTGCATGTTTGAGATGTCAAGGTTTAGTGACATCTGGGTCTCTGAGATGAGGGTAAGAGGACTTGCATTAGCAATTTGCCGAGTTTGACACTTGCAGGCACGTGGCTGTCCAACTTGGATTGACATTTGAACAGTCAATTGCAGCAGGTTTGCCTGGACATCCCTTTCCAGGTCAGCATGGCGCTCCGCTTCAGGAAGAGCAGGATGTTGTCAGAGTCGATGCCAATGGTCAAAAGAGCTTGTTGCAGCCAGAGCTTTCTGCTTAGCATAGAGTGCACTGTTGGTGGGTGGTTGGCAAGAGAGAAGAAAGCTGCCATTGACTGCAAGCCTGAATCTCAACGGGCCCACAAGACAGCCAGCAACTAAGTGCTACTCGCACAAGGCTCCCGACAGCAAGGCTTCAAGTTTCACAAGCTGTTTGCAACTAGTGCTCACTTTGAGTGAAGTCGGCTTGCGTCTAGCTCGGCCTTGGTTCCACACAAACTCATCAACAGCGTCGTTGGTGCTGTCATGGTATTATACGCAGCTGAATGAGCAGGTATCGAACTCGCCACAGCACTCCAGGAGGCAGCTGCCAGGGTCTCGGAGATTATCGAGAGGCCGGTTGCAGCTGAAGTGCTTTGGACCTTTGGATGATTTTGTGAATCTGGGGGCAAGCGAAGATTTCGGGGCCCATCACGCTTGCGGTTGCTGATGCTTCAATGCTTCGTACCTTAAGCTGAAGATCCATGCTTGGCATGTGGTGGTATGCAGTGGCAGAGTGGGTGAATCTCAGACCAAGCGACATCAAGCAACTTCGAAGTTGACGTCAGGGCAGAGTGGCTTCTGGATCCAACCTCGGCAGAAGCCAAGTCTGCAGCGGAGGCCTGGAAGCCAGAGAAGCGCATGCGTAAGAGCGAAGCTACTGAGAATTGCATAGCTGCTACAGCTGGCTACAGCTGGCTAAAGCTCGGCGCAGGGCGCGCGGTCCTTCGTGAAGCTCTTCTTCGATGAGGGCCAGGCCTGGTGCTCTGCGCCTGCTGCGACTGCTGCGCCTGCTGTCTGCGTGAAGCAACTTCGTTTACAATGTTGTGTCACATTGCGCATCACTGCGCTCTTGTTACGTTACGTGACCTAGTGTAGGTCGGGGTTCTTTAGGGCACGCCACAACCCCTCAAGGATTAACAGCGGCACCCTGCGATACCATTCCCAGGTAGCATTGCCCGTTGCTTTTGCACGATTTTATAACTGGAAGCTTTCAACATGGATTTTGAAGAAGACTTCTATGAGCGGCAAAGATGATATCTAAGCTCAATCTCGCGCTCATTGAATTCAGGATTTGGGCCTTTGGGTTTGAGGTTTGGGGTCCAGGGTATAGGCTTGTGGAGCGTTCGGGCTCAGGGTAGCTATGTTATCGATCTGAAAAAGCGCTTGATGGTCGCTTACAGCTTTCCTGTACATGATTTAGAGGTGTGGACTGTACGGATTTGGATTTTAGCGTCCAAGGTTGGGGGCTCTCACCTTCCGCTTACGTTATGATGCAGCAGCTGAGCTTGCGCTTTCTTGCGCTTGTTGAGGAACGACCTACCGCGAGAGATGGCAATCCTTTTTTCCTTCACGAATGGAATAGGGTCTTGGGGTACATGGCACAACACATATTGGCCACCGTTCCATTCGGGTCGGTTTGTCAGGAACCTAACCCTGTATGAACCTTTGACGGGTTCGAGACGGTTCGATTCGTATGGTTCGATTCCACGGTTCCTGCGGTTCCTACTCTTGTCGTCATGATTCCACCCGGATGTCTCAGTTGCCCGTTATTACAGGGTTGCTGTTGACGAACTTCATTTACCTGAATATACACCACTTTATATACATTCCTGACCAGCAAGCTAGACTAATCTAAATCATGTCAGCAAGGGCGTTGCAAGATGAGTAGTAGTACAATATACGGGCTGCTGGCAATGAAGGAATAGCACAGCATCCTTTGGGGCCCTGCCTTCCTAGCTCATATACCCCGTTACAAGTAGTACCCATGTTGTCCCAATAAGTTACAGGGAGTTTAAATGCTATAAGCCACAGGATTTTGAATAGGAACCTTCCCATGGTTCGGTTCGGAGGGGTTCGGTTCTTTAACGGTTCGATTCCTGAACGATTCGGTTCGTACGGTTCGGTTCGCCGGTTCGCGGTTCGGTTTGGAGGTCATCCTGACAACAGTTCCTAAGGCCGTGAATCCAATAACACTGGGACTGGGTTTGTAACAGGGCTCGGACGGCCATTCCGCGACACCGGCCTGTCAAAGATTTCCTGGCTTGCAGCAAGCACCTTTGCAACAGATTTTTTGTGGGCATACCTGTACCAAGCATTCGCTATAAAGCTATGTAACAACGGACGGCGACAAAGGGTAGGTAAGAAGGGGTCGGTGGGTGGGGTCGCGACAACACGGGTTTTGATCCCCCAGCCATGAATGAATCTGAAGACGCAGGCCCGGAGTCCAGAAGCCCTCCACAGCGCCGCGAAAGATCTGCCGCGGCTGGTAGTGGATGGCGGGGACCTGGGGAGGGGACATGTGACATGCGGGCTTGTCGGCTTGTCCATGCAGGCTTGCAGCCGGCTTGCATGCGAAGTGCAGTGAAGCAGTGTGATGTAGTTTGTCAATATAGTTTTCATATCTAGTTTCCTTTGGTTTGCATTCGTTCGCTGCGGGCTTGGCTCGAAGACATTTCTCGGCTATCATGTCGCCTGCTCTGCGCCGTTTGCAGACGTGGCTCAGGAGTGTGCCGGCTGGGGCGCCCTGGCGGGCTTTGAAGGATGCCCACGGCTTTGTGCAGCGGAAGCTCTTTGAGGGTGAGGCACCGACGCTCTACCGGCTCAAGGCAAACAAATATGCCCATTGCTATGGGGCCCCGAAGCGTGGTGCGGGAGCTGGCAAAATGGCCCAGCACTTAGCGCCCTACTTGGCCGCTGGCGTGCTTGCAGGCCTAGCCGTGTTCTTCATTGCGATCCCCATCAGCTTCAACAGAAGCTATGAGGCCTCCAAGCAACGCTACGAAGCATACCTGCGAACAGCTGGAGCCGAGCAAGCCGAGCTCCTGGAGCGGCAATTTGACAGGGGCCAGTTTGCCCGGCGGCGCGATTGAGCATCTGAGCACTCCAAGTCTCCAAGTTGCCCGGAAACCTCCAAAGACTTGCCCAGCTGGTTGGTCGGCTTTTCAAACTGTGGCCTTGCGCCCTCACCAGAAGCGTCTCCTCGAAGGATCATACCGACAACATCTTCCGGGCCAAACCAGGGCTACGCCACGTCGACTTGCTGACTCAGCGCACGCATGTCTGCAGAGCGCAAAATGTTTCTGATGATTTTTGGATTTTGTCAGGGTGGAGCACAAGTGAAGGATCAGTTTGTGAGCAAACCTTGTTCTAGTTATGAAGCCAGGTTCCCCAGACAGGTTTGTGCAAGTGCAGTTTAAGAAGGGCGTATTCTGCAATTCGGCCAGAATCAGAGCCTTTGGTCAGGGAAGCTGCGGTTGGTTGGCTTGCCCAGTTGGACGATTTCTGAAGCCCTCGGAAAGGCTTCGATCGTGAGCAGATTTGGGAAGAGATGGAGGCACACTCCGGGATCTACAATAACATAATGCCTCCTTTGAGATTGGCACGTCGAATTGTGGATGGTCGTCCAGTCTAGTTGTTGCTTGGTGTTGGGGTTGCATTTTGGACTGATTCCGGAGGTAAACAGCAGTCCAGCGTATTCTGGCGCTTGAAATACCTAAGCATGGCCCAAGCAGGCTTTCCACACTTTGATATGCTACCTGGTGCTCTGACTGTAAGTGTTCCAGTTGCGGTGGCAGGTGCAAAATGTGCCTCTTCGCCAGCATTTGCGCTGGCCTCGGATTTGCATGCCGTTCACTCACAAGCCAGACGTCTCAACAGCTGCCACCTAGTGGCTGACCGAGGCGCAAGCGAGTCTCGAAACTTGCAGTAGCACCCAAGGCTGCCAACTCTGCTCTGATTTTGCAGCTATTTGTCCAGGTTCAGTGCTTACAGGATGACTAGGTGAAGTCCAAACTTGTGGGCCAGGGAGCCATTGACCTCACGCTTGCTGCGAGCCAACCGGTCCTTGAGGCCAGGCACCCGGAGAGCAGAGGGACAGTAGATGGAGGGTAGAAGCTGCCGGAGGATGCCAGAACCAAGCGAGATACCTCTGTGCAGGATGATCGTGCGGAAGCAGCCTTCGACACAGCAGAAGATGCTGAGGAAACTCTGAAGGAGGCTGGCTTAGACTAGCTTGAAACACTCAGTGAAAATAGGGACGACAAACTTGGGACGTTGCCTTGCTCTGCAGGCTCGGGCAAAGAAGAGCACAAAGAAAGGACGGGCCAGATGGAGTATCACGCAACACAGCGAGATGTTAAAGAGAGCTCAGTCTGAGCAAGTATGAAAGTGTGGACGTTGCTAACAGTCTAGATCCATTTCGAAATCAAGTTCAAGCATGTCCGCTAGCTGTAGCAGCCACGAGAATCTGCCTCAACCGCCGGAGGGCGGCCAGCAGAAGCCGCCGCGGAGAAAGAGGAACAAGAGGCAGCTCTTTTCTGTCCATGTGTGGTGGCAGGCTTTGGGAGTAGAGCTCTTCCTAGGCTTTGCCGGATGAGCTGATAGAGCCTCAAGAGGCCGGGGCTGCTCGCGCAGTGAAACTTAGCAATCGGAGAGTATCATCCAGGTTTGTTTTGACTGAATCCTCAGGCTGACACATCTGGCAAAGAGGACTGGCCGTTCTATCTAGGTCCTAAGGTAGACATCACAGCATGCAAAAAACAGTTCGTGCGTCACATGCTGATCGAGCCCTGCCGCATGGCCTCCTTAATTTTGAAATGCAAGAATGTACTTGTAGGACTTCTTCAGCCTTGAAGACATGGAAAAGTTTGCTGATATGGCTGACAAAGGTACCATGAGGCACGGCCTGAGATTGAGGGGTTGCTGTTTGCTTGGCGTCTCGAGATTCAAAGTGAGGGTACAGGGTTTCAATACTTGTTTTGCGACAGGCCATTGAACCCTGTTTGATGCCCAGGCTCGACGAGGATGCAGACGAAAGCGATTTCGATCTCCTCGAGGAGCCTCATCTTAGTACATCACAAGCAATTGCGAGTAAAGATCTCGATTGAGGTGTTGCCACGCACGTAGCCGACCCATGGACTCCCCTCTACCATACCGCAGCCACATGCACCCCAAATAATTTAATGGAATGTACTGACATCATGGCTTCAAAGGCCGGAGATGGTGATGAAGGTGACGACGTCCAGCCCTTATCCGCAGTTGCCGAATGCTCCATCTTGCAGCTGTCCAGCTGTTTGTGCTCTGGCCTCCTGCTGTAGAGTTTGGGTGAGGCGGTAAACGCGAAATTCTCGGATTTCTTCGGGGCACCAGGTGCAAGCCTCAAGGGTGCACGAGGAGTCTCACCATGTCAGGTCAGAGAATCAAGAGCATAGGAAGAGAAACATTTGCCATCAAACATCTTTGCCAGAAATTGCAGGCCCCTTCGACACCAGACCCAAGAGGCTCAAACTACACCCTGGACTCCCTCACCTTGAAGCCCTACACGTGTCCTTTGGGGTGCTGAAGCCTCGGCCACGCCAGATAGCAAAGTCGCAAAGCCCGCCGGGAAGGCTGCAAAGGTGGCTGGGGCCTTGAGCAAGATGTAATGCAAAGCTGTTTTGATTGCCTTCCGGTACAAATGTGTGGATAAGGGGAGCATGCGGGCATGCTTAAGTTGCGAGGAGCCAGGTTGCCATCAAGTTTGCTCTCCCCCCGCACCGCCGCAGATACAAAAACAAGAAGATACAACAACAAGGATGTACCTTGTGGCATGTCGTAAGATGAAGCGGGTCCCAGGATCCTTTCTGGACAGAGCTTCTGCCAGGCCAGCCAAGAAAGAAAGGCAGAGCTGATGCAAGAGGAAGAGGAAGAGGAGGATGAGGCGCCGCTCCATTGGCTCTCGCTACTTGTAGCAGTGTATGAGCTGGCTAGCAGATGCCAGCAGGCCAATTGGAGAGCCGTGCTTTGGCTGGCAGGCCCTGGATGAGGGCGAGGAGGAGGAGGAGGAGGCGTGGAGGACATGCGCTCATACAATCTCATACAGCTACATTGGTAGCACTTGCAGCAGTCCTTCAACTGCCGGTGAGCGGGGAAGGCTTAAAGTGCTTACAATGAACCTCTCAGACAGGCAGAAGGCGACCTGGAGGAGCTAGATGAAGAGGTGGGCTCGCAAGAATTTGCTTTCTCACTTTTGTCTTACCGGGATGGAGAGAGCACGTCTTGGGTTCCTGGTATGCTCTGAGTGAAGGCGTACAGGAAAAGGCTGCAAACTCGATTGATTCTGCAATGAGGAGAAGGCCTTGGAGGCCCAGCTCAAGGCACTGCAGTCTCAGGGCGACCAGGACGACCTGGTGGGTTGCAGGAATTGGGAGGATTTTGAGGTTGGATGACAGAAGGTGTTGTCGAAGGGCTGTGAGTTTCGAAGCGTTTTGAGTGTCCGGACCATTCAGAAGTCATGTGCCGACCATCGCTGACCGCAACATCTGCATGGATGATCGTGAGAGCAGTGCGCTTCCATCCAACTGTCTGCTACGTGCTTTCTCGTCATCTTCCATTTGATGTATCATGAGTGCAAACAGTCATCCATGATTGCATGGAGCAGTCTTCCAAGAGCCACCTATGGCAGCGAGTTGTGGTGTAGCACATGCGTGCATGTGAGGATGAACATGTATCCGACGGACCGTAGTGTGTCGGCTCTGTCGGTTTTTCGCTTCCCTGCCTCCTTTGTGCCCTTTTTCGTCGATTCGACGACATGGCATCTACTCCAGTTTCGTCGATCGCCTCTTCGACGACCAATGTTGCCGACGTCCTGGCGTCGCTCGGCAACGACGAACTGGCGGCGGAGGTTGGGAGCTGGTCGGCGGAGCTCCAAGCCAAGGTGATGGCGGCGGTATCCGCGGAGCCCACCTGGTATGGTCAGTCCAGGACGGCTGGGACCGCCTGCGGCTCGACGCCACGCGGCTGTCGACCGACGACTTCGACCTCGCCGGCCTCAAGTTCCAACGGCGGCCGGCTGGTGGTACCACCCCCCGACGTCAAGGAGCAGCTCCACGGCATCCCGAAAGGGTTCACCGACGTCAAGGGGGTCGACGCGCGAACCAGGCATCGACTGGTGGGCAACGGCTGGCACTGGGGCGTGGCGGCGCGGCTGCTGTGCATGCTGGTGGCGCATACCGGCAGCACCACGCTGCCTCCACCATCGACTTCGTCGGCATCCTCAAGCCCGGCCTCTCGATGGAATGCAGGCCGCCACAAGCACCGGCAGCCGCACCAAAACACGGCGTGGGCCCCGTCGTTTTCTGGCAGCTTGCGGCCGACGTGGCCCACCCGACCACGGCACGGCCGGCCCTCGAGCCTGCGTAGGAGTTCTTGCTCGTCGTCCGGGGCCAACTCCGCCACGACATCCATAGGATCCGGCGGGAGGTACGGCAAGAAATCCAGCAGCTCATCGAGGACGGCGAGGATGACCTCGACGAGTGGCTTAAACACAGGCCGGCGGCGGTGAGGCAGACCTTTGCCACACCCGACAAAGTCCGGCCCACGCAAGTCCTCGTCCTCCTCGACCTCTTGCGGCGACTGGACTACCCCGACATGGACGGCATAACCGACGACCTCACCAACGGCTTCGACATGGTGGGCCAGGTGCGGCCAGGATGGCGCAAGCGCACCGACGGCCGGTACAACGACCCCGAGCACATACAAGACGTTTGTCGACGCAACCCACAGTACTTGCAGACGCAGCACGCCGAGCAGCTGCTCCAGAAACTGGTCGAAGAGCAGCGGCTGGGCAGGGTGGTAGGCCCTTTGAGAGAATCGGCGGACTGGCCGTGCCAGACGGTGGCGTTGCCCCACATCAGTGGCTGCGACGCCCTCCTCGACGCCCCCGCAGAGAAGTTCCTGGCGGCAGCGTCCTTCCCCATTGTGCAGGAGGACGAGCAGGGGCAGGTCAAGCTCAGACGCGGCGAGGACTGGCATCGATCAGACCACAAGGGCACAACGCCGCCACGGAGGCACACGACGTGCCAACACATCACAGCGTCGGCGACTTCGTGGACCTGGCACGGCGCATGGCCGAAGAGGACACCGACCTCGTCGCCTTTGGCCACGACATGCTAAATGCATACCGACAATGGTGCCGACGGCGGCGGGGGTCACCCTGTGCAGGTGATCCAGGGCGTCCACGTCCACCTCGGCGACAAGGGCGTCACGGTCCAACCCACCCGGCCGGGTCCAAAAGCTGCAGGCCATGATTCGCGAGGTGCTGGACACCGGCGTACTCGACCCACCGGCGGCGCAGCGCCTCTCCGGCAAGCTCGGCTTCCTCACCCAGGCGGTGTTCGGCGCGGGCGGGCGGCTATCCAGCCAGTGCACAAAAGGGCGGCGCAACCAGGGCGGATGGACACCAACCTTACGCCAAAGTTGGTCGACGCGCTCCTTGCGTCGGC